TGCCACCCCCCTTGCCACCCCCGCCGCCCCAGCATGTAGTCCCGATGTTCTCCTCTAGGTGGCACTGACACCCACCCTTTCCCAACCTTAGATGTGGTGTTTTGTCCACACACCTCCCCCCACTCCACCCACAAATCAAATCCCAGGAGCTGTAGAAGGTGAGTACTCTCAGCTCACCAGGAGGGGTCTGGCTGGGGCCGGAGCTGGACACCCTGTAGAGACCTGTAGAAAGCCACCTCCTCCAGCACACAGAACCCTGTGGCCTCCACAGAGCCAGAGATCCAAGACCAACACCTGTAGAGCCCATCCATGAAAAGCATTTCCACCTCTGAGGCTGCAGCAACTGCGTGAGGCAGGGGTTGTGGTCATTATCCCCTCCATTTCACAAAGAACTCAAGACCCGGCTTGGAAAGCCTTGCCTGGCTAGCTGGGCTCCCGGCTCTTGCGAGATTGCTCCTTGTGCCCCACCTTTGAGCAACGGCCCTTCCAGCTCACCTGGGAAGCATCTCCGGGAGCCTGGCTCCTCTGCACCTCAGCCCACACTTCACCATTTGCAACTGTTTGTCCATTCACGTGGACTGATGTCTGCCAGAGGAGAGCGTACGGTCCCCACCCTCAACACGCACATAGTCGGGAGGGGCCTGGCCAGTTCAAAGAAGGCGCTAGGACCCCCACCTCCGCAGGTTCATCACCTGCTGCCCTAGTCCCCTAGTCAAAGGAGGGAGACACAACAACTGCCCCATGCCCTGGCACTGTGGGAGTGCGACTGTCCCCCTCCCACAACAGGGGTCAGATCAGTGGCACAGCTGCTGAATGTTCCATCTGAGGTGCAAGCAGGAGCCCCAATTCCCTTTATTTCCCTTGATGACCCTCCAAGACTTGGTTCTGCCCAAAGTTACAGAAACTCATTCAGACTTAATAAGCACAGTAGTAGAAAGTAACAGTTACTGCACGCGGACCATGTGCTGGGCACTCTGCTAAGTCCTTTGCTAAATTTGCTCTTATTATCCCCACCGCACACAGGAGAAAATGAATGTTTCATGAGGTTAAGTCACTTACCCAAGGTTACGTGACTAATCGGGGCTTTGGTGCCAGACTTTCATATCAATGCCACTGCTCAAACACCCTCAGTGGCTTCCCTTGTTTGGCTTCTGGAATCAAGGCTCATGTTCTCAGTTTGCACTTGAGGCTCCCCACAGTTGGATCCTGTCTTACGTCCTGCCTGATTCTCTCTCTATTCCTCTGTGCTGATCCTCTCTCTGCATGGCTGGTATACCTTTGGTCCCTTTTGCCAAAATGCCTCTCCCACTCTTCTTTGCTTGGATAACCCTATACATAGTTTGTATCCCCTGCTCCCCCATCCCACACAGGGACCTTTGCCCGGGGTCCAGCCCACAGTGAGCATCTCTCCCCCGACACCCCTGCAGGGCTTCCTGCCCCTGAGCAGCTCACAGGACTCACCAAGTCCTCCTCTGTCCTGCAGCTGTGCCCTCCCCTAGTATGTCATGACAGGACACCCTCTTGGGGCAGGGTCCTTACCTTATACATACTTGTACTTCAGAGGTGCCCAATAGCACACAAGAGGAGCTTCACAAATACCCACAGAAAGCGATACGTACATTTTAGTCAATAGAACCCTGGAAGGAGTGGTTCTCCATGTCAGCGTTATGATCAAGTTAGGGCCCTGGGAAGAATTCTGGAAGCTCCCAAGGACCCTGAGAGGGAGTGAACAGAAGGCTGCAGTCACCCTTTCCCCCCACTGCTGTCCTAGAGTGCACAGCTGTGCTTGCATAGGCCATCTCTTTTGGGGAGTCTCAGTTGATTTGTTTGTGGACTTGGGAGACTTGCCAGGGGATGAGGCATCCCTTAGGGTAAACGGGATCACCCAGGACTCTATGGACTGCTCTCAAGGATGGGTCCCTCCTGGGGAGCACTGACCCACAGGACCCCCTCTTTTTTGCTGCCCTTTTTCATATGACTGTTGGCAGCTGGGGGACATGCGAGTGCTGAGTCTGCTGTGCAGCGTGGCCCCTGCACCCAACAGTGAACTCCACCCTCCATTGATGGGCCCAGACAGGCAAAAGCACTGGCCAAGATCCCACTATAACTTGGAGGCAGAGAGGAAACAGGGGACAATGGTTCAAAGCCTGGTTCCGGGGGCCTTGCCCACCTGACGGTAGCTCTTGGCTCAGTGGATGACAGGGGATATTGTCCCCCTGCACACACAGGCAGCAGAGGACTGGGTTATTTGGTAAAGGAAAACAAAGGGGTTAATTTTGAGTGAATAGAGAGATGGGAGCTAAACAAGCCGAGTTGGCATCTCCTGGTGGCCACCCTTCCTCTTTGAAAAGCCAGGCCCCAGCTCAGCCCCCTGGCCACGCTCCCTCGCCCCTTTCTGTGCACTGCCCTCTTTCTCAGGATGCTTCAGCCCCAGATCCACACACCTCACTAGCCTTTTATCCTCATTAGGGATGTCTGAGAATTTGAACTTTAATAAAACTGAGGGTGACCAGGGGCTGCCGACCAGCCGGCACATTATTGCTTTCATCTTCACCTGCTGTGGGAGATGCCGCCTTAGGGCCCCTGACTGGTAATGAGCTCCCCAGTGCAGGAGAGGTCACTGCTGTCCGGAAAGCGGCAGAAGCCAGCGTGGCCCTCTTGACTCCTAACTGAGGGGCTGATTGGGTGGATCTGAGCTCAGGAGCAGCTGGCTGAAAGTCTTGGCTAGTGCTTGGAGGGGGTGGGCTTGCTACCAGAGAAGAAGCAGCCAGGATGTTGGCTCCTGGAGAAATCTGTCCTTAAGTGCCACCTGTCCACCTGATGTCACTGCTCATAACAGTGGTGCTCTCCCTGGCCGCAGTGCCCATGCATCTGGGCAGTGAGATTCTCATAGGCACTTCCATTGAAAAGCATGGCTCTTGCTGGCTCCCCTGTCACCATCTGCAACAACTCATCGAAGCACTTTTGTCTCCCTGATGCACTCACATAGACCAAGCACCAGAAAAAATTCCTACCTGTGGGCCGCTCAGGAAAGAGCAGTGAACTACAATTCAGGAGACCCAGGCCTTAGTCCGTCTGCCAGTAATTAGCTGTGAGACAGTGAGCCAGTCATTTCCCTTTGCTAGGCTTCAGGGGTTGTAATAGATCTATCCTTAAGGTCCCTGCCACGCACAAGAACTGAGGATTCAATCTGGAAAATATATCATCAGCCATCACCAACTGAGATGGCCCAAGGATGCTTAACTTGAGTCCATTGCCTGCCTCAAGGAATCTAGCAACTTTGTTTTGAAATCCAAATGGTCTCAT